GGCGTCATCCGGGGAGGCCGGTTTTCTTGAAAGATGCTTCGCTGCTTGATCGACAGTGTTCAGCACTCCCCTCCTTGCCTCCACCCTCAGGCCTTACTTCTCACTAGCTTTTTTTTTTTCTCTCTCCTTCATCCCCTGACTCTTTACTCGGAAGGCCCTTCTTGAAGGGCTGCCCACTGGCTCACCTGCTCTTGTCTCCCTTCCCCCACGAGTGCCTAGCTGCCGTCCCCGCACCCAGCCGCCCTGACTGAGCTCCTCTCCGCTCCAGCCGCCCCTGCAGAGGCCACACACTCACACTTAGAAACACGGCCAGACCCCTCACACCTAATTCCAGTGCACATTGTTTGTCAAAAGGAAAAAAGGCTTTCTCATTTTGAAATTGAACAGGACAGTCCTGGATGCTGTTACAAACTCTCAAGCTGTATGCTTCAGGTGAACCTGCCATCGGAGTGACGGTACTTCCTGTTTGAGAAAAAATAAAAACGAAAGGGTCACCTGTTCTCCAGCCCTTTTCTCTGCCCCTGTATTTCCCCACCCCCATCCCCCAATAAAAACAGAAAACACTAGAATTTATTTATATGTATTGATGTTGTAGGTCTAGGTGAAAAAAAGTAAATGTTTCACTGCTCTATTTATATATAATGTCTGAATTATTCTGTGCAGGAAAGGCCAGGAAATTGCATGTGAAGTTCAGTGCGTTTACCACCTTCGTGTGCCCAAGCTGCAGCCTCTTCCCCGCTGAGATACAGATTTTAAATTGAACTCTGGAGGCAGAGGGCAGGCCTTGGGCCCAACCAACACCCCGTCCCTTCCTTGGTCTGATGAAATGCAGTTTTCAGTGCAGAGATGTCTTAAGGTGCAATCTCTCTCCTCTTTTCATGTGGTTTTAGAGCCAAGCTCAAGGTAATAGGACTTAGGGTCATATTTTGCCTTCAAATCCCCATCCTCAGAGTGCGTGTCCATGCCAAGGCCTCTGGCAGAATGCCTTGGGCCTTTGGCGGGAACAGGTGGAGACTAGCACTTAACCTTTCCTGCTGCTGGGGGTGGGGGTGGGGTGTCAGAGTCTTCTCGCTGAGCCTCTGCCTGCTAAAATTACCCTCCCTTCCCATGCTGGCTGCTTTGCCCTGGCCCACTGATGGTGCAGCCCGTTGCTCAGCAGCCAGTGATCCTGCAGTATGTCCAACATCAGTTACTCAGTGGGGTAAAATCCGAGAGTATGGGTTCATGTGTCCTTGTGGCCTTGTCCACCCACTAGAAGACTTCTTTGGCATGTGTATTTGGTCTGGTTCTCTTTGCTTCCCCTTTTTAATCATCATCATTATTGTTTTCAAACATGGGATTCATACGCTTTTGGCTCTGGGTTCCTTCAGGGGGAAAACTAAAGTACGACTATTGAACATTCAGAAAAACTGGTTGGTCCAGTTCCAAAGCCACGGTCATTCCAGCCACTGCCAGGGGGTATTGGGGCATCTTGTCATTAAATAACGGGCATCAGTTCTCTCCGGCTCTGCCCTCGCCCTCCTGTCTTCTGGACCTGCTTTCTGGATGGTCGATGAGGTTGGTGACTGATGGTCAAGGGCCGAGGAGGCCAAGGGTGCACACGAGGGCACGGCCACGCCCAGAACTGGCCTGCCCAGGCAGTGTGTGGCCAACTGCTGCAGCCCCCTCCCTGCTGTGTGGTTCCCCTCCGCCAAGTAGCTGCATGTTGCCTCTCGAATCTGCATTTGTCCCATTTCCCTTCCTGCAGAGCTAGCCTGGGTTAGAAGGTCTGTTGGAAATGGCCCTCGGCAACCGAGGACACTAGGGTACTTGTTTGTACTTTGTACTGCTCTGTGATGACTGGGAAATGGCAGACTTCCAGAAGGCCGGCTCTTCCTGCTTGAAAAGTGAACTGGACCTAAGACGAGCAGATCACCCGGACAGGAATGGCTCAGTGCTGGGGTCAGACACTCTGTCCCCCAGCCGTGCCCTCCACCGGGACCACCAGCGCATATTTGACTAGTGATATTACAACCTCCCGTTCACCATTTCTCCATCTCAGTTAGGTGGTCTCCGAGATGGTACAGTGTCCCCGGGGCCCCGTCTTCAGCATGCTACAAAACCTCGGAGTGGAACTTCCCGTTAAGGCTCTCTGTGGATGACTTTCTTCCATTGTGTAAAGGGGTTACTGTACTCGCAAGCTATTGACCTCATGCCTTGCATAGTAATAAGGGTTTGGGGTTTTTTTGTTGTTGTTCCTGAGAGGGTTGTGTTTTGTTTCCTTTTGTTCTCATTTTGGCCTTTCCTCTCTCTGTCTTTTCACGTAGACCAGATATTTGAAAGGGCAGACGATGGCTAAAGGTGTAGCGTGCAGCTTGTTTCTACGTTGTTTGGGGGAGCTTTTACCTTGGATGGGAAATGGAACCGTGGATTCAGCAGGCCATGGTGGCACACTCACCCTTCCCCCTTCCCTCCGGTTCAGTACCTATGGTTTCTCCTTTCAAATATGTGATTGTACTAGCTCTTTCCATACGAAAGAATTCTCCGTATTTAAATAAAAAAAAAAAAGTAAAAAAAAAAAAAACAAAACCCACTGAAACTGAACATGCTTTGTCGGGTTGTGTGTCCCTCGACTCTGTCATTTGACTGGAGACTTAGAGATGGAAGAGTTTTCCTTTTACGTGGAAGATAGGAGTGACTGGGCTGAAGTGCCCTACTGCAATGTGAGGGCGAGGAGGGGGTGAAACCCGAGGTTAAGGTGCATCGTCCCAGTGGGTGGGCGTTAGCACTGCCTGCCCCCTGCCCTTCCTCACCCCACGCGCCCCAACTCCCCATGAGAAGTGGGTGGGTCAGAGGTTAAGCATTTGATTTGTCGTGTTTTGTTGCCACTTCTAATGTCCCTTTTCTTTTGCTGCACTTGGGCTTGGCTTGGAAAGAAGAGCAAGCCAGGCGTGGGCAGTGAAGGATGGAGAGCTTGGATTTGGGTTCAAGTGGTAGTTCTCGGTTCTGCAATCCACTGTGTGCTGTGTGACCTTGGGAAGGACACTTCATTCAGAGTCACAATTTCCATAATTGTAAAACGTGGGTTGTAAACAGTAGCTACGTCGTGGGGTAGTGTGGATGCACAGAGGTCATGGGCAGCATCCAGCGCGGTGCCTGGTCCCAGGTAAGAATGTAGGAAACTTATAAATTATGCCCGAGTAAATTTAACACTTTCCAAAAGGAAACCCCGCCGGCTGATTCCTTCTGAGCCTCTCCACTGTGGAAGCAGGGGACCCGGGTAGGGCGTGGCCTGCAGCTCTCAGGGCCACACCCACCCCCTGGATTCCCTGCTCCTGGGGACCGGCGGTCCACAGACCTCCAGGGGCCTGACCGCGAAGGAGCCCGAGGGCCCGCAGGATGGAAGCTCTGGATCCTCGAGACCAGACGGCCCCTGCTTTCGTATCAAAGACCACAGGCTGAGAGCCCGGGCCCAGGACGCCCTCCGGCCGCAGGCGCAGGTGAGCCCGCGCTCCCTCTCCCCCCACAACCCGGGTAAGTCAGAGTCACCTGCACTGCGCTAATGCTGGGTGACGGACATGGGAAAACAGGAAAGAACCATAATTCCAGTTATTAAACCTGCAGTACCCTTCTGTCCAGGAGTATTAACTCCCATATAGACGAGGGGAGGAAGAAGGGGCGGGGCTGGGCAGCAGAGTTGCCTTCGTGCCGGTTAACGGTCCGGGTCACTCCCTTGACTTGGGGCCGTGTCCCGCTGCAGAGCAGGCTCGGCTGGGCCGCGCGGGCCGGAGGGTGGGGGGCACCGCCGGGGCAGGGGGTGGACCCTGCCCGCCTCCACCTGCGCGCGCGTCCGCGCCACACTGAGCGAAATGCCCATACGGTCCCACTGTGTCGTCTTAAAAAGACAGACGTGTGTCTAGTGTGCCCAGGAACCCTGGGTTGCCCAGCCGTGAATCACAGACTGCAGATGGTCCGCTGCACACCCTTCGAGTCCGGGTCTGGGCTCGCCCAGTGCGCAAGCGCGCCGCTCTCGCCCAGTGCGCACGCGCGCTTCACCCCCGGCGGGCCCCGCAGGCGCGGCGAATCGAGCGTCGAGCGGGCTAGTGGGCGGCGAAGAGTGCCGAGCGGCCTCGTCCCCGGCGGTCCGCGCCCCAGCCCGCGGCCCTCAGGCGTCCGAGGCGTGGCCCGGCGCGGGGAGCGGCTCTGAGGGGACTGGAAGAAACGCGAGTACGTTTGGGGCGCTTTGGACCAGAGCCCAGGCGGAAGCGGGAGAGTCAGTGCGGAACGCGCGTGCGCGGTCTGTGGGGAATTGTGGCGGGGGGCGGCAGGTCTTGCCTGGCCCGGGGGTGGGGCCGGGGCAGGTGTGCCGGGGGAAGGGGGCGTCCGAGGCGCAGGTGAAACCTTCGGGAAAGATAGCGGCCTGCGGGAGAGAAAGGGGAGTGCCGGGAAGAGGAGTGGGGGCCTCCCAGGGCAGACAGAGTCTCTGGAGAGAAGGGGGTGCTCAGGGCAGATGTAGCTGCAGGGAGAGAAGCGGGCCTCCAGGGTAGATGTAGCCTTGAGGATAGAAGGGGACCGCCGAAGGCCAGATGCAGCTTTGATGCGGGAAAGGCGGTACCCAAGGCAGATGCAGCCTTAAGAAAAGTGGAGCCTCGGGGGAGGAAACGGGGTTGCCCAGTGCAGATGCGCCCTCGGGGTGAGAAAGGGGGCACCCAGGGGACGGTGCTGGCCCGCGACGGGAGGGGAGGGGAGGGGAGGATCTTGGCGCAGAGGTGGAGGCTCTGAGCCTCAGGGGGTGGAGGTCACCGCGCTGTAAGCTGGCCACACTGCCTAGGTGGGGAGGGGCCAGGAGGCCGTCTCATTGACCGGAAGTGCCCAGCAGGTGTTGGTGGAGTGAGTGAATATTGAGTCCTCAGATTCCCACCTCGGTTGACCGCTCGTGAAAGCAGGGTCTTGTCACAGCGTGTTTCGAGCCTTCAGGGGGCCACCTGTGTTCTGATGACAACTCTTCCCTGCTTTTCCAGGGCATCCTCCCCGGCTCGCTTTCCTACAAGATGTTGGGATTTTTGCAGCGCCCTGTGGTGGTGACAGCTGACATCAACTTGAATGTCGTGGCTCTGACCGCGGTGGGGTTGCTGAGCCGACTATGGCAGCTTGCCTATCCAAGGGCCGTGGTGTAAGCCAGGCAACTCCATTTTGGGTGCATCGGAAGGAACTGTAATTTGTTCAGTGCATTGGTGACAGGAAGTGCCTTTTTGAACAGCGTAAATGGGAGAGTAAAATTCCGGGCTTCCTGGTGATGGGTGTCTTTGGCAGTTAGAGGAGAGACCAGCTTGTCCCCAGGACAGCCCCTGCAGAGGCCACCTGTTTGGTCTTGCCCCGTAGGTCAGTAGTAGGTGCAGTAGCCTTGGGTGACCTTTGACAGTCTGGAGAGTGGAGGGCTGAAGATTGAGGAATTTGGAAGTGAGTCCTCACTGATACTAGCGTGTGTTCTTTGTTGTAATGGGAAATGATTGCTGTTATTATTAAAGGGCTGTTCATTATCTGATTAATACATGTGTTCCTTTTCACTTAACTTTTTATTATGGCAAATGTCAAACAGATACAAACATACAGAGACTGGTATATTCATCACCCAGCTTCAACAGTTACCAGCTCATAGCCAACCCCTTCCCTGCAGTGGGTTTTTTTGAAGCACATCATAAACACTGTGTTTCATTTGTAAACAATTCAGTATCTATCTCTAAAAGATCAGGATTCTTAAAAATCACGTGACCGCGGTGGCATCATCACACCTAACAAGTTGCCGGCAGTTCCTTAATGTCAGTGAAAGTCCCTGATTGAAAGAGGTTTGCTGCGGCTGGCGCCTGCATGCCTCCCTTTTACACCTGTTCTGTCGGGTCACCAGGTCTGATTCCGACTCTTAGCTGCAGGCACGCTGGTGGACAGGCAGACTAGCTTTGCGTTCAGGAGGCCTTTTGGAGACTGGCTCACAGTACACCCTAAACCCAAACGTAGGGAGAGAAATAGAACCTGTGTCAGGAAAGCCTCCTGAATGCCCAACTTCCGTGGGGCGTTTCCCTTCCTGTCCTTATGGATGTGTGATGCTGCACAGGTGTCTTCATAGTTGGGGCAAAAGTCTGACCTTTGCTGGTCACTCTCCAAAGTCCTTTGGAGACACAGGTGTGCATTTATCCTCATGCCTTTTGTGTACGGTTAAGGTTTCCAGTTGACTATAACATGGGTTTGCTTTGCAGTTTTGATGAAGTATATTATGGGCAGTACATCTCTTTTTACATGAAGCGGATCTTCTTTTTCGATGGCAGTGGACCACCGTTTGGCCACATGCTGCTGGCCTTGGGAGGTAGGATTCATTAGTAAGAGAGGTGGCCCTTTAACACTTACAGGTGAAATTTCTTCAGGGCAGAAGCGGTGTCTTCTTTATTTTTGTTCCCTTATTGACTGCCGCAGTTTGGTGCTTCAGAAATATTTGGTGAACAGGATGGTTACTGATTAATCTTCTGTTTTAGGTTATTTAGGAGGATTTGATGGTAACTTTTTGTGGAACAGAATTGGAGCAGGTAAAATATTTTCGTTTCCCTTATTAACTTGCATATATTAGATTGGAGAGGTCGTAGCTTTCATAGGGATTAACAGCTATGGTTTATTCATCTGAATCCAAGGTATGATAAATGTTTGGGTACAAGTGAAAGATTTTCAAAAAGTCCGGTAAATTCCTTAGTGTTTAGTTACAGTAAGTATTTCATCCCTGGTTTTTGGTACGCATAGCATGCTCGCCGTATGTGGCATCTGATTGCCGTTATCTTTTGTACGTATAAGTGTTATGTGTTGCCACAGTGTTTTTGGAAATAGATGGGGTAAACTTATAAATAAGGATTAACTCATTTCAGAGTCCTCGGCATCACTCCCGTACTTCCTGAGAACTGGCCCTTGGCCACTCGGAGCTTCTTTCAAGGCCCCTGCCCGTGGCCTGCACACTCCATCCCTGATGGGGCCCCCAGCCTTGCGTTGTAGTCTGTGAGCCTGGTAGTCTGTGTGAAAAGACACTGCAGTGTAGGGAGGTGGTGTGTGCGCAGTGCTCTCAGCCCCGCTGTGGTTGCTCTTCCAGAATACAGCACCAACGTGCCCGTGTGGTCCCTGCGCCTGCTGCCGGCCCTCGCAGGGGCCCTGTCGGTGCCCATGGCCTACCAGATCGTGTGGGAGCTCGGCTTCTCTCACTGTGCTGCCGTGGGGGCCGCTCTTCTGATTCTGATCGGTAAGGCCTGGTGGGGCGCAGGGAAGATCCCAGCGCCAGCCCTTGTTTATGTCTGTGCGGCCCCGGAGGGCTCAGGGTTTAGTAGACGTGACCCCTGCAGTGTCTGCTCGCAGGACGGAAGGACGCACATCCAGTGTGTCCAGATTGGACTCTGGGAGTCACCCCACTCCCAGGCCGGGGGATTGTGGAGCTGTGTGTGCAGACTGTGACGTCATGGAGGTGCAGCCGTGTGTAGCGGGGCTGCCCCAAACGATACTCCTACGCGCGCCCTCCATGAGCACCTCCCCCTGCAACCAAGTCTGTCCTTGAACGAGAAGCTACCCCGTACTCCCACCTCCCAGGCCTTGACCAGTGGAGATGGACTCAGGAATTTGTGGGTATTCCTCAGAAGGGATCTCTTGGCCCAGGTCTATGAACAAATGACATTAAGTCAGATGAAAATAAAAAGAATTCATGTCTGCTGAGTGACGACCCTAACTGGGCCCCTGTGCCCACAGAGTGTTAGAACGTCCAGGCGGCCTGCAGAATCTGTATTTCTTTTCTCAGAAGAGGAAAACGAAGGCTCGGGGAGGGCAGTGACTTCCCCAGAGTCCCCCAGGTCTCGGGAGGCTTGATTCACACCTCAGAAGTGGCCTTCGTGGCTCCGGGGCGTGTCCCCTTCCAGCCACCCCGAGCCCGAACTTGCCACCCTCACGCTCTGGGACGTTTGGCAAGGGCGCTTTCTTGTGGACATTTGCCCTCACTGCCCAGCACCTGACGCGCGTGCCGTTTCCCCGACAGAGAACGCTCTGATCACTCAGTCGAGGCTGATGCTTTTGGAATCAGCGTTGATATTTTTCAACCTGTTGGCCGTGCTGTCTTACCTGAAGTTCTCCAACTCCCAGAAACACGGGTACGGAAAATGGGACGTGCTCTTCTAGTTACTAAGAAAGAGGAGTCCGGGGGGGTTGGTCGACCTGAGCAGGTCTGATGCCTTTCCACGCACGGGAGCCGCCCCAGGCACCTCGACTGGCTCTTGGCTGACTTTACAAATAATCCTCATCTTTCTATAACTCAAACTAACTGGAAAGATGTTCTGGCCAAAAAGGAAAATTCTGTCAGGACTGGCTGCTCTCTGGGGAGACGAGGAGTCATTTCCTTGTACCCGGAGCTTGGTGCAGCCAGCTGACCCCGAGATCTCTGAGGAGGGCACCTTCTCTGGCCTTTGGGAGACATTCTGATCTCCCAGCTCGGCTTCTGTGCTTTGCTCCAGGCCCTTCTCTCCGAGCTGGTGGTTTTGGTTGGTACTGACGGGTGTGGCCTGCGCCTGTGCAGTCGGGTGAGTTTGCTTCACGGGGCTGGGGCAGCAGCCATGTCCCCCGTGCTTGTCTCGTCTTAACTTTCTCTCTGTTGTGTCCCTTCAGCATCAAATATGTGGGTGTGTTCACATACTTACTGGTGCTTGGGGTTGCCGCTGTCCACGCCTGGCACCTGATAGGAGACCAGACGCTGTCAAACGTAGGTGCTGACGTCCTGGGCAGGGCGGGGCTGGCCCTGGGGGGTCGGGGGGCAGGGAGCTCCTGATGACAGGCCTCGGAGGGGGACAGACCTGGGCCCGCCTTCCCCAAAGCAGGGGTGACGTCCCCTCCATCTCTGGCAGGTCCGTGTGCTCTGTCACCTGCTCGCCCGAGCGGTGGCCCTGTTGGTCATCCCCGTCCTCGTGTACCTGCTGTTCTTCTATGTCCACCTGCTGCTGCTCTGCCGCTCCGGGCCCCACGACCAAATCATGTCCAGTGCTTTCCAGGCCAGCTTGGAGGTAAAAGTGACACCCCAGCCATCCTAGAAAGAAGGCCACACTAGACTCAGAGTTTTCTTACGAAACACCGCAAGTGGGCCTTAGAGGAAAAACCAAAACGAGAAGTGAGGCATCGCTTCACTACTACACGAATTCTGAACGTGCTGAAGGTGTAGGAGGGAACGAGGGGTCCGCTCTCTGCAGTGTGACCTGCTGGGCAGGTGCCAGGCTGCACAGGACAAACGCGACTCTGGCATTCACTCAAGTAACTTTGCGAAAATAATAAAATGCTCCAGTTGTGGTGTCAGCAAGGTAGACTCTGAAGTCGGACAGACCTGCTCTTAAGGGCCGGCTCTGCTGACAGCCAGCTCTGTGTGTCTGGGGAAATTTCTTCACTCACCCAAATCCCAGAGTTAGACGGACATAATTGCTCTTATCACGGGATGCCTGTAAGAAGTAAATACAGACTAATGGGGGGGATTCCCTGGTAGTCCAGTGGTTAGGACTCTGCGCTTTCACTGCTGGGGCCCGGGTTCAACCCGTAGCGGGAGAGCAGAGATCCTGCAAGCCACAAGGACGAGCGGGGAGGGGCTAGGTGAGCGCCTGGCCCAGGGCAGCCTCCGGTCGGTGGTCATACAGCGTAACATGTCAGGATTATATCACATGCAGCCGTAGCTAATTGTGAGATACAGTGATAACTGCCCCCACCCGGAATACACCCCGGCTGTCTGGCGGAGGGGCTGGCGGAGGTGTCACGCTCTCGCTTTCTCTCTCCCTCTCACCGGCCACCCCTTTGCTCCTGTCTCAGGGGGGACTGGCGCGGATCACGCAAGGCCAGCCCCTGGAGGTGGCCTACGGTTCCCAGGTCACTCTGAAGAACGCCTTTGGCCAACCCGTGCCCTGCTGGCTTCATTCCCACCAGAGCACCTACCCCGTGATGTAAGGAAAGTGACGTTTTTAATTCGAAGGTTATAACATGTTTTGTTTTTTCACATTTTTGCTCTTACCAACTCTCATTTTCTGTGAGTAAGTTTGCGAGACAAAAAAGAAACTGAGCCCTCAGGTCCCGGTTATCGACGAGACTAGTTATTTCTGCGTGTAAAACCACTAGAGGGACTGGCACTGCCTGGGCTCACGTCTTCAGCCCCGCTGGGACGTGAGTGGATCTGGACAGCTCGCTGGGTGGTGTCTGTAGGGACCTTGGTGGGGGGTAGGGGGAGGCCGCGGGCCCCTTGGTGCCCCACCCGCAGATGTACCCTCTTCTCGCAGATACGAGAATGGCCGCGGCAGCTCCCACCAGCAGCAGGTGACCTGCTACCCCTTCAAGGATGTCAACAACTGGTGGATTGTAAAGGACCCCGGGAGGTGAGTACAGGTCCGGGGACACCTCGCCTTGGTCCCGGCCTCCTCTCTGTCCATGCTCCGTCCGCGAAGCCTTGGGACCGGCTCTGTGCCGGGCAGCCCGCGGTCCAGGACTTAGGGGCCCAGCATCTCCTCCGGGTGTTGCCAGGGGTGTCCCGACTCTCCCCACCCCGTGGTCTGCCCCCACTCCCCGCCGCCCTGCAGACGCCCGCCTTCCTGCCATCATCCCCACCTCCAGTCCCAGCCAGTCCTGTTGGTTCTGCCGTCAGGGTGTCCGTCTCCCCCATTGGTCTGTTTCCACGCCTACCTCCCCGATACCCACAGCCCCCCCAGGTGTCAGGTCAGGCTCCTGCTCAAACCCCTCCCTGAGCTCCGAGCTCCACGGCCCTTAGAACGGATCCAGTCCCCAACTGGTCTTCAGGGCCGCGCCCTCCGGCTCCAGCCCCACTCCCCTCGCAGCGCTCACCCTGTCCCTCATTTCTGCAGGGAGGCAGGCTTCTGCCACAGGCTCTGCACCGCTGTCCCCGCAGCCTGGAAGGGTCCCACCAGGGCCTCTTACTCAGCACCTGAAAGTCAGCTCCTCTGGGACGCTGCCTGGCCGCCTCCCAGGCTCCCCCACCTTCCCCGCTGTCAGCATCCCGTTGGCTTCCGCGTGTCCGCTGTCCGGCTGCCCACACGTTTGCTCCCTGGTTCCCACTCAGTGCAGTAACTTGAGGGTGGTGGCCACGTCCGTCTGGCTCCGCCAGATGCTCAGCTCCCAGCCGTGGGGCAGGGTCTGATAGGCCCTTGCCACTTTCACCAAGCGAACGTGGAGCCACAGTCTGTTAGAAGGATTTCGGGGCAGGTGCGGGCATTCGTAGCAGGTATGGCGCAGTTGCGGTCAGTGTGAAGGTGGCTACTAGTGGGGCCACGCCAGGAAGCTTGGAAAGTGACCTGAGGTCTCAGAAGAGAGTTAAATAAAACATACGCGCTGCGTTTTCACACGCGTTCACCTCATACAAGGAACACGGTGACAGGGCGGCTGTGCGATTCCACGTTGCGCGAGCGAGGACTGGGGCCCCTGCCGCCCGTGAGCGCAGCTACACTTTCTTCCAGGCACCAGCTGGTGGTGAACAACCCCCCGAGGCCCGTGCGGCACGGCGACATCGTGCAGCTGGTGCACGGGATGACCACCCGCCTCCTCAACACGTGAGTCCCCTCCTCTGTTCAGAGCAGAGCGTGACCGCTGCTGTGCGCCACTGCCTCTGGCCTGGCTCTGCCCTCGATGTCGGGGGGCAGGGGACCCCTAGTGGTGGTCGCAGGGTAGGGGGAGAGCCTTAGTGATCTGAGTGGGACAGCAGCCTCCCACCTGTCCTGCAGGGGGGGGCCGGGGTGACGGGCCGGGGTGACGAGGAGAGTCCTGCCTGGAATGAAGTGTGGGCGTCCTTGCAGATTGGGGACCCGCGGGAAGGAGAAGTGAGTTCAGGAAGGATCTCAGCTGGGAGATGGAGTCAGGAACCCTCCCTGGCTTGACCTCTGGGCAGCCTCGGCATATTGACGGGCCCGGGCCGCCTCTGCTCTCCTTCCACCCGGCCTCTCGGGCCATCTCGTGGGTCTCAGTGACCCCACACTCGCGCCCCAGCCCCGGCCTCCCCGCTGGATGCCTGGGCTCTCTGCCTCCCCTTCTGCTTCCCGGGGAAGGAGCCGGCTGCTCAGTCCTGATCCTCTTCTCCCACCCCTGTAGTCGCTGTGTCGGGAAATCCACGAAGGTTGCTTCCTTCTCTCTGCAGGCCCAGCCCCGCCCAGGCCCCGTTCCCTTTGTCCTGCGATGCTGGGACAAAGTTGCTGGCCCCCTGGGGCCTTCAGTTGCTCTGTCTGCCTGGAATGTTCTTCAACTCAGATCCCCCCACACACACCCCACCCTGTGGCCCACTCGCTCACTTCATTCAGGTGTCAGCTGAGATGTCCCCGCAGCAAAAGCGTTGCTGTGTGCTGTGCCTGCCCTGGTTGGGTGTCATTCGTAGCACTCACAGGGCCTGCGCTCATGACTGACTTCCTGCTCGCTTCAGGGTCCCCAGCTCCTCTGCGGGACCTCGCGTAGAGTCTGGTGAAGCGCGGTTTCCGAGTGCGTGGGCGAGGGGAGCCGGGGTTTCTGGGCGTGTTGTCCTCCAATAGTAGTCATGGCGCCCCAGCCATTTCCGAGAACTGACCTCAGGCTGCTGCCGGCTGGCCGGGTGAGCTCCCGGGCTCAGCCCGTCCTCTGAAAGGGGGATGACAGGCCCCACGGTTTGGATGGATGTCTGCCAGATTCCCCCAGAGATGTCACGATTGCAGAATCTCTGCCCTCTCGTGTTTGATTTATCGCCCAGCTCCTACGTGCTGCATCCTTGGAGTGGCAACCGTGGTGCTTGAAGGCTGAGCTGCTTTGTTTCCTGAAAAGCATTTTTTTTCCCGTAAAAGCACAGTGGGCGCCTTTCAGAGGAGCTCGGGAAGCCCCTCGGCAGCGCTGTTTGGTTTTCCAGGCACGACGTCGCGGCCCCCCTGAGCCCTCACTCCCAGGAGGTGTCCTGCTACATCGACTACAATGTCTCCATGCCCGCCCAGAACCTCTGGAGGCTGGTGAGTCTAACCCCAGCGACCGTGCGCGCTGGCAGCAGCCCGTTCCAAGCCGCCCCTTAGGACAAGTGACTGCCTGTTCTACGGAAAGGGGGAACTGGGTAGTTTTTTTCTATCAGAGGAAGGAGCTTATGGTACGATGGACGGGTGGGCACTCCGTATGGGGCTCACGTGGCACTGCTGGCAGAAGGTCCCTCCCACTGTTTGGCCTCCAAACCAGTGCCTCTTTTGTCAACCCTCACCAGGGATTAAGAAGGGTTTCCCTGGGGACAGGCAGGGCCATCTGGGGGTTGATTCCTGGCACTGCCCTCCTAGGCCCTGGGCCTGTGGTCAGGCAGTGCCCTGGGCAAAGTGGCAGGAGGAAGGTTCTGTCACTGGGCCATCGGACCGTCTGAAGTCAGGGACACGCATGAGAAGCGCAGCGGCGGTGCAGTGGCTGCACTGGGCTAACCTCCCGGGGAGCCGGGCTCCCCCTCAGCCCCCACGGGCTGCACGCCTGTAGCACCGGCCCCCCGCCGGGTTCTCGATGGTGTGAGGCCAGGCGCTGCTGGCCCTCTGCGAAACCAGGGGCCGGGGAGGCCGCCTCTGTCTCTGTGCTGACGCTCTGTGCCGCACGCGGGTGCCTGTGCCTCTGTCCCCTCCCGCAGTGCTCCTCTGATGTGAGTCCTTGCACCAGCCCCTCACCACCGGGATTCTCCTGGAGGCCCCGCCCACTCCCCTTGCTGCGAAGGCCCATTGCCGATCCTTTCCTGCTCCTCAGCCCCTCTGGTGGCACTTCGAGCCCCACACGCCCCTGTTTCCAGGAACTGAAGCTCTGGGAACAGGCAGAGAGGACGGCTGACCGGAGGGTGAGGCCCGGCCTGGCCTCCTCGTCCCGTCCTCACTTAGCCCCTCGGGTTCTTTCTTGTCAGTAGCTACATGACTTCCCGGGGTCATCGCCAGGCTCCAGTAAGTTAAATATGGCAGCGCCAAGCTCTTCAGATGTTAGTTTTCTATTACCCAGCGTCAGGAGTGCCCCGTAAGGGCATCTTTTCAGGGACAGTCTCTGACCTTCCTTTGCGCCATCTTTGTGCACCATCAGGCGTTGCAGAAGCTCAAGGGTGAGCATCCGTCTTTAAGTCCCCACTGAAAAGGCTGCCCTGTGCAGTCTCTGGAGGAGGGCAGTGTCCCCTTCCCCCTGACCACCCCCCTCCAGCACCTTGCACAGGCGTCAGCAATAAAGTTGATGGCACCGTCTGGGATCAGCCGTCAGCTCCCCTTGGGGGACTGTCCCCTCGTATCAGACCATGTCAGTCTCACTGTGGTGACTGGTCTTCGGTTTTACACTTAAGGAAATTTGAAAAAGAGTGAAATAACGGACCAGACCTGCTTTTACAGGACATCGTGAACAGAGAGTCGGACACGGACGTCTGGAAGACCATCTTGTCAGAGGTCCGGTTTGTGCACGTGAACACCTCAGCCATCCTCAAGGTCAGTTGATGCCGCCTCCCACGGTCCTGCCAGGTGGGACAGAATGACGTGTTGCGGGAGTGGTGAGGGCCCTCTGTGACTGCTCAGAACCAAACCCTACTGTGACGCTCCCCAGAGGAGAGCCGGCCGCCCTTGTCAGCTGCTGGCCAAGTGACCGGGGTGGGGTGCCCCGGGGCCAGGCTGAGCCGGGCCCTCCCTCACACCCTCCCCACTTCTCTTCGCCAGCTGAGCGGGGCGCCCCTCCCGGACTGGGGCTTTCGGCAGCTGGAGGTGGTCGGGGAGCAGCTGTCCCGGGGCTACCACGGGAGCACCGTGTGGAGCGTGGAGGAACATCGCTACGGCAGGAGTGAGCCCCGGCCGCGTGGGAGGGGCCGCGTGCGCTCCGTGCTCCGCTGCAGACCCTCGCCCTCCCCCTGTAGCTGGAGCGGTGATAGGACGCGGGGTGGGGGCGGGTGTCCCTGGAAGGCAGGGCGAGCCGAGCTTTCTGACTCGAAGGATGCTGAGCGGGTGGGTGGGCCGTGTGCTGTGGGGAAGCCGCGTGGAGTGGCGCGCTCTGACTGGGTCCTGGCGGGTTGTTTGAAAAGCAGCTGCAGCTGCCACTGGGAGCTCCCTTACCTGGTTGTGCTTGTATCTTGTGGGTTCCGGTGTGTCTGCCAGGCCAGGAGCAGAAGGAGAGGGAACTGGAGCTCCACTCCCCTACGCAGACGGACGTCAGCAGAAACCTCAGCTTCATGGCCAGATTCTCGGAGCTGCAGGTGACAGGCGGGCGGGGGGGTGGGCGACCTTGCCCACTGGGTGCTGGCTCCTCGCCAGGGAAGGCACTGCAGTCTGTAGAACTCCCGCCTGCCCAGTGTCAGCCTTTAAACTGGGACCTGACTCGGCAGGGAGGGAGCATTTCCCTCTGTCCACTCTAAGTACATGCCTGGCACTGTCGGTCCCCTGCCTCCTGGCTGTCCTGCCTTGTGGCTTTGCCGGCAGGAACAGTCAGGAGCCAAGGAGACTGTGCAGCAGAGTGACACTGCACGCAGGTCCGGGCAGGACGGGCCACGGTCAACACGGTGCAGCCCCAGAGAAAGCACCCTTAGTGCCCAGTCCCACCCCTTAAACAGACGGGGCGACTGGAGCCCGGGGGTAGGCGCCTCCTGGGCTCGTCAGCCCGTTGCGCTGCCTCTGCGGCATGATCTAGAGGAACTTGAGGTCGGACGCCCACGTGAGAGGGACAGCGGTTTACCTTGCCCCCTGGCAGACCCCTGAGCGATGAAGGCGGCTGGCTGTCCGTGTGACTCCCAGCGGCCTCTGCTTTCCGCAGTGGCGGTTGCTGACAGTGAGAAGCGACGATTCCGAACACAAATACAGCTCCACGCCGCTGGACTGGGTCATGCTAGACACCAGCATCGCCTACTGGCTGCACCCCAGGACCAGTGTGAGCAGAGCGTCTGTGTGGCAGAGCTGTCTTGCGCCTGAGAGTTCTGTGATGTTAAGAGCAGCTGTTGCATCCGACCAAGTCCCAGCCTTCCTGCGCTTCCCTAACAAAAGCCTGGGACTTGTTTTTAGTGCTTTGGCAGCTCGAGGCCAGAGCTCCCCTGAGGTGCCAAGGAGTCGGGTCCTAGCTTGTCCACAGGCCGAGGGAAACCAGGCTTGGTGGCTGCGGTGGGAGCGCATGGCTCCCCTTCTCTGGCAGACGTGGTTTTCAAAACAGCCCTGCTTGATTTCCCGCGTGGCACATGGCGTCTGGGCCAGTCAGTGCTCTGTTTCCCTGTACATCGCCTCTCTTCACCTGGGAGAGCAAACGCAGCGCGTAGCGGGTGCCCAGTAATTACCCGCTGGGGGGGGGGGCGTATGTGCTCAAGATGCTCACCCTTTTCCTCCCCCCCGGAAGTGGGGGGCCACGGCTCGCTGAGAAGCGGGGTCTGAGATGAGCGGGTCCTTAGCGCCCTGCAGCTCTGCATCAGCCCCCTGGGAGCAGCTCTGTCATCAGAACAGAATCCCGTCTACTCCTGGTTCTCAGTTTCAGCTTACGGAGCTGAGAACCTTCGCACGTCCGTCCCGGCAGCGAGGGCGGAGGGTGTGGTGGGTGCCCGTGTCTGCTCTGGGCTGTGGCGTCTTGGCTGAGGTGACAGGGTCTCTCTGTGCGCCCGCAGGCACAGATCCACCTGCTCGGAAACATCGTGATCTGGGCCTCGGCCAGCCTCGCCACCCTGGTGTATGCCCTGCTCTTCATCTGGTACCTGTTCAGACGCCGAAGAAGAGTCTGCGACCTCCCTGAGGGTCCGTGCAGCTGCCCACACGTGTCTCACGCCCCCTCCTTCTGGTTCTGACGGGAGCTCCTTGTGCTTCGGGTGTCAGCCCGGCCGCACCAGCAAGCAGGGCCTTGAGGCCACCTCTTTGTTTCTGCCTCGAGGGAACTTCTGTCTCTTCCCCAGAGACAGAATGTTGCAGTCCAGTCCCCGCATCGCCTTCAAGGCTTCTCCGGGGACGTGCAGGTGTCGGGCAGGAATTGCCTGACACCCTGGAAGTGGCTGATGGGACAGAGGCGCCAGCGGGCACTTAGTCAAGGGTGGTGGTTTGCAAGGACAGAGACCCCATTCAGACCATCCTGAAACAGGAAAGGAGCAAACACCCAGGGCAGGGCCGGGCCCCGAAGGCCGTCAGGGGCAGGGAGGCGCCTTCTCTGGGCTCAGCTCCGAGCTGGTCATTCTCTCCACCGACTCCCGGCTCTCCTGGGCGGGTGCACGGGTCCAGCCCCTCCACTGCTCCCTGAGTAGTGAGACCCAGCTCGGAATCTCCGGGTGAGCCAAGGCCAGCGGGCAGTCGGGAATAAGCTGGGCCTGGCCCCCAGGAAGCTGGCTTTCTCAGGAAGGGGACGGTAGTACCAGCAGGAAGTTACAGGAGGTTCTTAGGACACAGTCTGTCCTTCCTCCAGAAATGTGGGAAGGCCGGGAGGGGCCACAGAGAAATCAGCTGGAGCTCGCGTGTACCTTGTGCTGGACCGCTGGGAGCTTCCCAGCTGGACCGTCAGCAGCGCCGGCTCGAGATGACCTTTTCCCTCAGATTGCTGGCTGCGCTGGGCGCTGGCCGGTGCTCTGTGCGCCGGGGGCTGGGCCGTGAACTACGTGCCCTTCTTCATGATGGAGAAGACGCTGTTCCTCTACCACTACCTTCCCGCACTCACCTTCCAGATCCTGCTGCTTCCTGTGGTCTTGGAGCACATCAGCGACCACCTGTGCAGGTATGGGGCCTTGGCAGCCACGCCCCCCTGGGGGTACGGGTCCAGGGGCGTCTTGAATGGCGATTCCAGTGTGATGCAGATGGGGTTAGGATCACAAGCAAGGCTCTGCAGGGGTTCAGAGGATGAAGCTAACGAAGGCTGCCGGGAGAGGAAGGTGGCTGATGTGCACGGGAGATGGGGAAGGCCCTTTGGGCCCGGAGAGCGCCAGGAGCAAAGAGAAGGAGAGGGAAACATGGGGCGTGACCCGGAGCAGCCGGTGGTTCGTGGCCGGACTGCGTGGTGCATGGCAGAGATAAACCAGGAAGCTTTGTAAACCGGAGCGAGTTCGGGAGGCCAGGGCAGAGGGGGAGCCCTCCCTCTTTGGTCCCCAGGAGCCTTGTAGTACGTCAGGAGGGCTGCACTGTGCTCACGGGGGGTTCGGGGGCAATACCCCGGCATCCAACCTTAGATGGAGCAGAAGCTGTGGAATTCTGGAAGCAGAGCGAGTGAGGAGGGTGGGGCTTAGCACATCGGGCAGGACGTGGTGAGGGCTGATGGTCAGGCAGGGGGTGGCCGGAGGAAGGAAAGGCCGGGGTAGGTGACCACATGGGCGACGGATGCCCAGAGGACATCGTGGTGGGGAGGGGCCGGCCTCCCCACGCCCGTGCTCTGCCCTGGGCCGGCAGGTCCCAGCTCCAGAGGAGCCTCTTCGGCGCGCTGGTCGTGGCATGGTTTGCCTCTGCCTGTCATGTGTCCAACACGCTGCGCCCGCTAACCTACGGGGACAGGTCACTCTCACCCAGCGAACTCAAGGCCCTTCGCTGGAAAGACAGCTGGGATATCCTGATCCGGAAATACTAGTAGGATGCGGACACAGTGACAGACGGCAGGGCCGGGTCAGGACAAAGTAGAACCGTCTTTTATGAGCATGTTTACTTCTGACAACGCAGAGTGGCTCTGAGCTTGGTAGAGACTCAGGCTCGGCAGGGATTCTGTTCTGGTTTCGCTGTTGAAACAGTCCTCTGACGAGCACCTCGTTTTGAGCAAAGTCTGTTTTCCCCCGGACCATAAAGATCAACGCCCTCCATGTCTGCTGACTCCTAGGAGCCCCATGAACTAGCTGAGTGTGGAGCGGCCGGCGTGGGGCTCCTGTCGGCCTAGATGGAGGCAGGGAGGGGCCGGCTCGGGGCGAACCAGACTTGCTGTCAGAGGCTGGTGGTGGGCTTTGGCTGACTGGCCCGCTGACCTGCTGACCCCGTGAGGCCGCGGGGAGCCACCCTCACGGCTCAGGGGCACACGAGCTATTGCAACGCCGGCCTGAGGAGGTTGTGCAAGGCTGGCCGTTCCTCCTCGCCATCGCTGACTCTTTAACCGCTGCCCGGAGAGCCTGCCGAGAGGTGTGTGAGCGACTAGCCTCTTAACCGCCGGGGTTTGTGTCACCCGTACATTTCCTCGTCCTGAATTTGCCTTTTCTTAATGTAATTAAAAAGGGACAAAGTGGCATTCATATTTGGTATTATTTATTGGATCTCTCTCCGAAAGGGCACAGTAAGTTTGACAAAACTTTCACAGTCATCAGAAACCAGCCACCGTGCTCAGCTGAGCTCAACTGATGTCTCTGTGTAACCACAGTTAGAACTCGACAGCTGGTGGCTTTTACAGAAACAGCCACGTGGGAGGGAGGACAAACGAGGACAAGACCATGACTGCTTGTGAGGCGCGGACGCTGCGTGAGCACAGGAGACCGGCCACCTTTGGGCCGCGGCATCTGCTCACGCCTCTCTGGTCCACACACGCCTTGACTGGAGGTGACGTGCCCTTGACCTGGCCGAGGGCGACACCAGGAAAGACCTGTCCAGACAGCAGCCTGGGCTCAGGGGCCCTGAGTAGGCCTGCGTGAGGACGCTGTGCCCGCCAGAAGGCAGACCCCCAAGCAGGCGGACTCGGGCTGGGCAAGCGGGGGCCCCGCCTGTGCTTGGTGCTGGTTAAGGGAAAGCTTGCTCCCCAGGGCTCCCTCCTGGCTCTGCCTTCCGAGCACAGGCCGGAAGGAAGGAAGCCTGTCTACGGCCCCTCGTGTACCAGGTCAGTGTGTACCAGGAGCACAACCCTGCTGGTGGGTCATGATGTTGGGTTACTAGGTCACAGCGAGCATGGTGTCAGGAGACGGACTAAAACAGAAAACATGTGGTTGTATAACACATAAAAAGGAAGAGAGTTACCTCTTCACACTTTTCAGTTACACGTGTGTGAACCAGATCATACTAGTCTCTCTTGCTGTGGGTTCACCGTCAAAATCACAGCGTCCGGGCTATTTCTTCAACGTTCCCCAAATATGTGACTCGCTCACCACAGGTTCTGTGGCGTTTCTCAGTAACTAAAGAGACCTTTAAGCCTCTGTGATGTGAGGAAGCAGGTGGAAAGGTCAGGGCTGCCTGCAGACATCCTGCCAGACCCAGTCTGAATAACTCGTCCAGGTTTCCTGAATTAGCGAGTGACGCCTGGACTCCAGCACCACCCCGGCCACGGTTGTGTGTTTAGGGGCAGGGGGGCATCTCTGGACCCGCGGGAGCCGAGCACCCCACTCCTCAGTGGGGCCTGCTGCTGGACTCCAGGTGCGACCGTTTGCCAGAGGTCAGCACTGCGGGGTGGTCTCCCGGCTCAGGAAACGTCCTCTTGTAGCTGCGCCCGTTGGACCCTCCGCGATGCCACTTGCAGATGTCGCCATTGAGGATGTCTTGGATGTGCTGCACGATAAGGTTGATGGCCACTGCAGCAGAGACAGACAGAGCTGGGTCAGCTGCCCCCACTCTCCATCGCGACACGCCGGGAGGGATGCCCACCCAGCGCCAACCTGGCGTTACTGGTGAAGCACACAGTTTTTCCTCCCTGAAGCATCTGTGTGGCGCTGAGTCTCAGCAGACAGACAAGTGCACGCTGGGGCCTGAGCACAATAAAACCTACCTGGCTCGGTCGGCGAGGGTTTCTGTTAACTAACTCTGGTTAAGATACCTTCTGCTAATGAGTGACTCCCTGTCAGTTTTCCATATATATATATTTTTTTCCCACCAGCTTCCCGGAGATATAATTGACATAATGCATTGTGTCAGTTTAACGTGTACAATGTGTTAACTGTTTTTCCAAGTACATTTGAAACCTGTGCCACAGATGTACACAGACAGGCCTCACGCGCTGGGGGTGTCTCAGTAACCACGACAGGATGGGTAGTGCCTGCTTCATGGTCCTGGGAGGAGTGGGGGCAGCCGGCAGGCCTGGTCCTTACCCATATTGTCAACCCCTCGAGGGATTATCACATCAGCGTACTTCTTCGTCTGCAAGGCAAGAAAAGGAAAGTCTCGTAAGGATCTGTCCCCCAGATGGTTTCAGCTTGCTTGGGGCTAGATGCAGGGAAGCAAGCCCGGGCCCATCATGGCAGATGTGGGGGCAGGGATTCAGGGTATCTGTCAACCAGGTGAGAGACGGTGACCCCAGAAGTGAGGGAAGGTGAGCTGAGACAAGCTCTAACAGCACTTGTCTCCCAGCGTCTCTGAGATGCTTGTCTCTCATGAGCACTGCTATAGGAGCCAGTTCTCTGTGCTGACCACCTGGTTCTCTGGGCCGAGTGAAGCGGGGCACCCTCCCACTACACACAGGGTTCTTGACCCTGTGAGAGCAGGGCTGCGCTGCACGCGAGGACCTGCTCCCCTTCCTTCCCCGCCCCTCATCTGCTCCCACGCCGAGGAACTCACTCCCTGTTGGGCACCCTGTGGCACCACCGAGGAGGGGCCCCAACCACATGCTGCTGAGGGCGCCGAATCTGAAGCAGCGGAGGGAGGCAAGGGAGGAAACGGTCTGGGCCCAGAGACAGACCTGCAGACCGCTCCGTGTTGCCAGCGTGTGGACGCGGGCCAAGGAGGCCTGTCACACAGAGTAGCCACAGGGGCGGGCGGGACCAAGTCCTGGGGCAGCTGTGTCTGCAGGCGATGGAGACCCACGGGAGACGTAAGCGCGAGAGGGCCAGGGCTGCCTCCCGTGGGGCTGTGGACAGTGGGCTGCGGGGGCAGGAGGAGTGGAGCCCAGCAAAGAGCTGAGAAAGGTCTTCCCTTCGGGGACGCGGGGTACACGGCTAGCTCGTCAACTCGCTGTGTGGCTACAGGTAAAGGGGAGGGAGAGACGGAGGGTCCGGCCCAGAGTGGTCCTGATTCCACCCAGGGGCACCCAGTCACATCTGGAGTCTGGAGTTTTACCGTAAACGACCTCCTTTGCCAAATGTCTTTCTGTAAATAAGAGAGACTGCAAAACAGTCAATTTACTTTTCTGATCACTTTCCAGAAACTTTAGAGAACATGAATGTAAAATAAAAAATGTTTTCTTGAAATAGCAGAAACAGAACTCCTTCGTCCTGTTTATCTAAAGCAGGAATCCTGGTTCTAATTCCTTTGTGCCTCATTTTTCCCTTTAAGAAGCAAAATATTGTTCAATTCCCTTTTAAATCCTTATGCAAGTCCTATCTAGTGACAGTGAAGACTGTGAGATGGAGGAAGACAGATGGCCACAAGCAGTGAATTCCTCCTCTATAGGCCGGCCAGCCTTCCAGTGCCAGCCAAAGGCAGCCCAGAGAAACACACGGCACGGATGAAGTTTCTGAGCACCTACTGTGTGCCAGACACCACTTTGGCAGCCAACAGACAAAAATCCCTGCCCCTGTGGAGGCCACCGTTCTAAGGGGGGGGGGGAGGAAATGCACAGCGTGGGTCAGGGGAGAAGCAGCGCCCTGGAGAAACGCAGACAGGCCAGGAGGGAGGTGGTGCCGGTGCCAGGGGTGAAGCCTGTGGGGAGGGGCCGGCCGGCGAGGAGGAGGCAGTGGGGAAGGGGTGATGGGGAGAACAGAGGACACATTCACAGCTGAGAACGGCTCCTCGGGAACGTGGGTACAAGAAGCTAACTTCTCCATTTATACAGCAGACCACGTCCATCCGTGGCTTGGCTCTCACAGAACGGGGCACCGGGGGTCCTTCTGAAGAGGGAGAAAGGAGGTCCCCAAGCAAGCGGAAGGCGGTACCGGCAGGCAGAACTCCTCGAAGGCCGGCTTGACGAAGGTAGTGTACTGCATCAGGATCTGCTCCAGCTCCCGGCCACGGCGCACGTCCCGGAGAACTGTGGCGACAGGAGCAGGGTGGGGCCTTCAGACCCCCGGGACCCGTGGCCGGGCCGGCCAGGGGCAGAGAGGCCCGCGTCCGCCTTACCTCTTCGCGACAGCCTGACATCAGGGTCAGTGTCCACAAAGAGTCGCAGGTGGAACATGTCCCGGATCTCCTGGCTGTAGAAGACCAGGATGCCCTCGAACAGGACCACATCTGCGGGGAAGACCACCGTGGTCTCCGCCAACCTGCAGGGTGAGACCAGGAAGGGGCCCTGCCGTCAGCTCCAGTCCGCGGCTGTGGACTCCGTGCTGGGGACAGATCGTGGTGGCGGGGGGGTGTCCTCACCAGCCCCCAGCGCACAGCCCTCTCCTCCCAGGAACCACCTGCTCACCTTGAGTGGGTCACAAAATCATAGATTGGGACCTCGACCGTTTTGCCCTCCACAATGTTTTTCAGAGTCCTGTGCATCAAATCGTTATCAAAAGCACCTGCAGGGATGGAACAAAAGGCAAGACAAGCCTGTGTCCTGGTGCTGGGGACCGCAGGGGACTCGCTCTGCCTTGGGGTCAGCACAGCTGGGTGCTGCTGCTACCAGTGACCCTAAGGAACAGCTGGACTGGGAGCTGCCCCCTACAGTTTACATTTGCAGGGCCCTCTGCAAACCACAGGGTGGACCTGTCCTCGCTGCCCTTGGGCAGTGCCACCACCCAGGAATCAGCCAGCCCTGGGA